TGATTTTCCCTTTTCTTACAAAGTAAAGGCTACTCAAAACAAAAATAAGCAGAATCATGCCGGAAAGTTGTGTGTTTGGCTTTACTTTAACTTCTGGAAATGCCAAAATGAACACAGATATCTGCTTTTAAGTCTTCCCTGTAACCTTCTAACTCCTTTAACTCCTCCCTTTTACGACTCTAACATCAAGTACACTAAATTAAAGGTCAAATCTGAATAAAACTGGCTAAAAATTAGTCCACTAAAATGATTTGCAGACAGGAAACATAAAGACATGAATCTAAGGAAAAAGTAAACAAACGAGATCTGAAAGAAAGAGATATAATCGAAGCTAAAAAAACAACGGTGGTGGCAACATCTCAGCACAAGGTTGTAGCCTTGATATTAGTGGGTTAGGGGGCCAGTAATGGACTCCCCTGCTGCTCAACCACACCTCCCACCTCCCTCGATTCTTTCCTTTGCACACGATCGGACTATCTCATCACCACCGCTCGATTGGACACCAGATCTTCCTTTCCGCCATTCCATATGTCGTCTGTTCCTCTTCGTTCCTCTCATACTCGATCCATGAGCAAATCCCCACAACCAGCCACTTGTTCCCCTCTTTCAACTGTTCCACCTTCTCCCCTACCCACCCAAACTGATCTGCACATCCCGGCATACTAGTCAAGACTTGGTCAAGTGTTGATCATATGGTTGCGTGTTCAGCTTCCCCTAACCCAGATTTGGAGGATAAAGAGAAACCCTAACCACAGAAGAGGAAAGGAAGGGGGAAAACACAGATAAAATATGGGTTTTTTTAATGTTTATATATTTTTAGGTGGGACCCAGTTGATGTGTAATGGAAAAGGGGGAAAAGTTGCCACATAGGATTAAAATGGGCGGGAATGGGTCAGTTCAACATCCACATAGGCAAAAAAACCTCCACCGTGTTTAAAATGTATGAATCAGCACGCAGTTAACGGGAAGATGACGTCAGTTGACGTGGCCCGTCAAATAATGGGTTATTTGTCCAAGTCGAAAACTTTGTGGGTGGATTTGTCCCCGTTTTTTGTTCGGGGGTGGATCCGTCCCTGCCACTATACTTTGGGGGTGAGTTTGGGTATTTTGCCAAAAATTTTTACCTTATTTTCAATATTAATTACACAAAAAAATTTATGGAATAATCCATTCTTTATTAGTTTATATGAAAAAACACGAGTTTTTTTAATATGTACCATATGACATAGGTCAATGATATAATTGATATATTTTTTATCCTTTAATTATAAAAAATATTTTTTTTAATTCTTTCGCTAGTTAATTCATTAATTTTATGTATATATGTATATTTTTAATCCATTAAATTTAAAATTTTACACAATTTTTGTTCCTTAATTTAAAATTTTAAAGAGTTAAAATATATATATGTACTTAATAGATTAATTAAAAAAACTAAAAAATATATTTTTTACAGTTAAGAGATTATACATTATAAAGTATATAAAAAAGTTAAAGAATTAAAATTACGTAAAAACCCAAAGTTAAGTGGCTACAATCGACATTCAACCTTTTAAGGATAAGGGAACTCTGCTTGATCATGTGCAACTTTTTCCTATAAGTGCGTGCCATACCCATCCTCCCAGACATCAAGCCTTGAATTTTGTAACCTTCTCCTAGTTTTAGCTATGCAAAACAGTCAACCCCATGCTGCCCTCCTCGTTAGCCCTGGCATGGGACATCTCATCCCTGCCCTTGAGCTCGGCAAACGCATGGCTACTCATCATGGATTTCATGTCACCGTCTTTATCGTTGCAGAAGATCATGCCTCAACTTCACTTTTCAAATCACCAAATAATTACCCTGAAAATCTTGATGTTGCCTTGCTCCCTCCTGTTGATATCTCTGCCATAGTCGGTCCTGATGCATCACTTACCGTCAAGATGATCTTCATCATGCGCCAGTCTTTACCTCTCCTTCGCTCTGAAATCCTAGCCATGAAGATTCGTCCAACAATGCTGATTGTGGACATATTTGGAACCGAGGCTTTCACCATAGCTGACGAATTCGAGATGCTTCGGTACGTTTTTATCACCTCCAACGCGTGGCTTCTCGCTCTTTCCGT